ATATATACTTTAAATCGTCCCAAATTAGGCTTGAGCTTGCCAGCTAACACTTTGAGTGCTGTCGACTTTCCAATTCCATTTGTCCCAACAAGGCCTAAAACTTGACCAGGTCTTGGAACGGGCAACCTGCAAGTGCTAAATCAGTAACTATCCAAAGATATGGTTTCACCTAAATTACAGTAATACTTGGATTAAAAAAATGCAAAAGTTCATATCAACACAGCTCCTCAAATCAAACATCAATACCTGTGCAATTTGAAGGTGTTTGGACCATAGCGATGAGTAGTATCTTTTTCCAAATCCTTAGGAAGGTTGATAATCTCAATGGCATCAAACGGGCATTTCTGCAACAAAGATCATAGCGGAAGTGAGAAACATACATTACAGAACAAAGACATATCCTAGTTCCATGCGTATGTATAATAGCAGCAAACATACCTTAACGCAAATACCACAACCAATACACAGCTCTTCAGAAATGAACGCAAGCTTCGACGCCGGAGTTACTTCGATGCAAAGCTTCCCTGTAAAATCGCCATACCACATATACAATCTCAAAACAGGAAACTCATATCGCCAGCCTTAGCGCACGGCATATCAAGCGGCAAGATTATGAAACAACTAGGAACCGCAGCTTGCGTGCTCGTTTGGAAGCTGGAACTTTACATGATATCGCAGCACACACAAAATTAAACTAATACTAGCACTGTGTATGTATGAAGAATTCCAATCTAGTCTCTAAAACAAACAGCTGTGGCACAACCCCAGAAGCTGCAAAACTTACAGGGTACCACCCTAAACCTCAACCGCGCCCTATCTCCCCGGATCTGACCCCGCGCAAAAATGGCGAAGCCTCTCCCGGGGATCGATCTACGCCTCGATTGCGTCGGCACGGGGAGACCACTCGCCTCCTCGAGTTGCCCCACCGCGTGAGGGTGTGGAGGGGAAGGGGAAGGGATTACCGGTCTTGACGACGGGGCAGCTCTTCTTGCACTCCTGGCGGCACTTCTTGGGCTTGCACTTGTCCTCGCTGACGATCGCGATACGCGTCAGCCGCTCCGCCATCTCTCCTCCTCCTTTCCTTCTCCGGCGAGAAGCTTCTGGTGGGGGAAGGGGAAGGAAAGCCTAGCGGTGGCGGCGGTGGCGGCGGCGGCGGCGCTCCCCGATAGCTGCGGTGAGGAGGAGAGGAAGAGAAGGGAGGGAGGGGGTATCTCCTTTGGCTTTGGGAGTGTGGTGGACACGTGCGGCGCGGCGGAGGGGGATGGGGAAGGCCAAACCCTAGGCTCGGGTCGGTGTTTTCTCGGTCCGTCGCTCGAACCAGGTAACCCGTAACCTCCTGCCTCGGTCGGGTTCAACTCCTCTGTACTCCCGTGTACGACGCCGTTGACTTTATAACCACCGTTTAACCACTCGTCTTATTCAAAATTTTTATGTAAATATAAAAAATACTTATGTCATACTTAAAGAACATTTGATGATAAATCAAGTCACAAGAAAATAAATTATAATTACATAAATTTTTTGAATAAGACGAAAAGTCAAACGTTTGTCAAAAAGTCAACAGTGTCATTCATTAAAATATGGAGGAAGTATTCTTTTTGGTTCTTTTTCCCTTCTTGGAAACACCAAACATTTACAAGAACCTACCAAAAAAAGTTAATAACTACAATTAGTTTTAGCGTATATAAATACTAGTTTATTATAGCAATGCCCCACTATATTTTTTCTTTTTTTTTCAATTTGATTGCCATAAGAACTTAGAAGCCACATAAGTACATTATCCGATAATGGAAAATGGCGGCAACGACGGTGATGGGTCGGCGGTGCTAGTGGTGAGCTGGAAGCATGAGCTGGTGTCACGGCTACAGTTAAGTCCTAGCTTCCACTTTGTGCCGACGGACAAGGAGCTCGTGGACTTCCACCTCCGCGGTAAGATCAAGAGACGCAAACCGCCTCTCTACCTCATCAATGAGGTCAATATCATGCGTCATGATTCTGAAATGATTGGTAATTTAATCTTCTTTAGTTGATTGATCGCTTTGAAGTTATGTATATCTATGAACCAATTGATTTGTGATAACACAATATGCATGCATATAGAAATACAAGGGCTATGGGGAAGGTATGTGGTACTTTTTCATGGTGAGGGGGCCATCGAAGACGAAGAAGAAGGGTGAGCTGAACACAAAAAACCATATAACCGTCTCACATTATAAAATAAATTATGTTTATACATAACTTTTTCTCACTTCAAACCAGGGCTATATCCAATAGACTATCCAATATCAATATCTTTACTAGTCGGGTACTTTTATCTTTTTTGGATTTAAACCACCTTATTATATCTCTCTTCTCCACCTCTGGTTCCCCACCACTACAACCATTGCTAGCTCGCCATCTCTTTTAAGCTTAAGATTTGCCTCAGCTGCACATGAAGCTCGACTACCTCTGTTGCCCCAAGCATTCACCTGCCTTTTGATCCCAATGTTGAGAATTGGGAAAAAACCGCTAGCACACTGCCTCGTACTCCTATTCCATGAGTACATGAGGATATTGATGACGTTAGCAAGACCCCATACTCAATATCTACTTTAGTCACCTAGAGCTAGAGCTACACCGAATATGAAATATTCTAAAGTAAAACTTTGATCATTATCTTAAAAAAAGTTGAAACTTTGATAAAAATATCAGGCCCAACCTAAGATTTTCTCTATTAAGCACTAATTTAGTAGGTTAGAACCCTGTTTTTACATGGAACAAAGATTTATCGACATAAAACAAACATGTTTCATATTTTTAAACCTCAGAAGAGATATATGGTTGCCACGCTATATTTGATCAAACCGATAACGAAAGACAATGTGACACAACATATTCATATGTAAAAAATGTGCTCTCTTGTTGACGCTTGACAGTTAACCGCATCGAACTCAGCTGCAAAGAGCCAATGAATGGATCATAGCAAAAAATTTCAAAAGATAACTTGCCAAAATTTAATACACTCCCCGAATTTGGTAGGAAAAAGTATACTTTGACTCGCTTAACTATGGCCCGAGTATGATTCATAACCTCTAACCACAAAACCGGGTATATCGACTCCTTCAGCTATCGAAACCGGTGCAAAATATATCCCTAAGTGGTTTTGGAAGCGGTTTTGGCTGACGTGGCGCCTACGTGGCAGTGTTGACCTGGTCTTCGTCCCACGTGGCGTTGACGTGTCACTTACGTGGCATTTTAGAATAAAAACAAAAACAAAAATATGTGGGACTGACATGTCATTCACATAAAAAATAGTGGGACCCACCGACATGTGGGCCACACATGTCATCCCCTTCCTCCTCCTTCCTCTCCCCTCTTCTCTCTCCTTCCTCTTCCCCGTTCAACTTCCTGTTCCTCCTTCCTCCTCTTGTGCCATGGCAGTGTTTGTCGCCAGGGGCGGATCCAACGTGGGTGCAGGGAGGACTCGAGTCCCCCCTACACCCACAAGATACATGGATACCCTCCGGAGCACCCCTTCATTTTTTTCACCATGAATGATAAACTAAAGGTCCCTAGATGGCTAGAGGTTGAAGAAACTGTGTAATTGAGCCCCCCAAATTTTTGTTCCTGGATCCGCCCCTGCTTGTCGCTGCCTCCAGTGTCGGGATGGTGCTCCGATGTCGGTCACATGTCGTCACCGCCGAGTCGTCTCCGCCGCCGGCGGAGTCAAACCACTTGCGCACGACGAAGTCGCCCCGCGACGGCTTAAGGACGAGCGAGAAAGAGACGACGCCGGTTGTGTTGGCCTTGACGGCCATGGCCATGGCTGAGGCGGTGGCGAGTAAGAAGCTCGGCGGCACCGGCTCCAGGAGGAGGCGGCAGACAACGGCGGCCCCCTCCCCTTCTTTTCATGCTGATCTTGGTGTGTCCTTCTTCCTCTTCTTCTTTGTTCCTTTGATTTTTTGGTTCAGAACAATTAAGCAAGCATTTCCTTTTATTAAAAGTGTGTTTCTCTCTCTTTTATTGGCTTTCTGGGCACATCTGTTGCTTTTTTTCATTGGTTTACCCTGCCAAGTATACATGTTCTTCCATCTGTTCAGTCCGTGTTCTTCCCTCCCCTTCTGATTCGGCTCCTGGGAATTTTCTTATCCCTGCAAATTTTTTTACCGTTTGCTTGCACATCATCACAAGGCTCTAAATTAATCTGTTTTTGTTTAATCGTTTGTTCTTAAGGTGGTTGGACGGTTAGCATCTTCCTCCTCAAGCTGAGATTTGGGAGGGGTCGTTACCGGTGGGGTCCCGGATGCGACGACAGTGGGAAGTCGAACCCTGTGCGGGGCGGTGCTCCAGGACAGGCGGCGGCGTCAGGACCGAAGTGGTTTTCGGCGGCGTCATGGATAGGAGGTAAGGCGGGCAGCTCCGGAGCTCGGCGGTCAGGCATAAACCGGTGCGGCGCAGCAGATGGGCGGCGGCGCTCTTGGGCCGAGAGAAAGGAGCGCGAGGGGAGCGAGGAGGCCACAGAAAGAGGAAGAGGAAGGGGAAAAGGAGAGAGAAGAGGAGAGAGGAAGGAGAAAGGATGAAGATGATGACATGTGGGGCACACATGTCGGTGGGTCCCACTATTTTTTTTAGTGTGAATTACATGTTGGTCTCACGTATTTTTGTTTTTGTTTTGATGCTAAAATGCCACATAAGTGACATGTCAACGACACGTATGACGGAGACCGGGTCAACACTGCCACGTAAGCACCACGTAAGCTAAAACCGCTTATAAAACCACCTGGGATATATTTTGCACCAGTTTTGATAGTTGGAGGAGTCGATATACCCGGTTTTGTGGTTGGAGATCATGAATCATACTTGTGCCATAGTTAAGGGAGTCAAAGTATACTTTTTCCAATTTGATAGGCCGACCGAGCAACAGCCAGCCCAGCCCGTAACGGACCAGCCCAGTTTCTTCTCTCTCACTCCACGGCCCACCAAGCCCATCCATCACCAGTCCACCTACCTTGGGCTCCGCCTCCGCCGCGCGAACGCGAGCAGGAGCAGCCTCTCGTCGCCGACGTGGACTCACCCGACGCCGCGAGCCGAGAGCGCGAGAGCGCGAGAGGCGAGAGCAGCAACCACCGCCGATGTGGCGGGCGAGGCGGTGGCCGTGGCCGTGGCGGTCGCAGCGGCGCGCGGCGAGGATGCTCTCGTCGGGTGAGCCAGCGGCGGGGCGGCGGAGGGTGGCGGCGCTGTGGGGGAACGGGGACTACGGGCGGCTGGGGATGGGGGCGCTGGAGTCGCGGTGGAGCCCCACGGCGTGCCCCTTCTTCCTCACCGGCCGCCCCGGCGACGACGACGACGACCCGCCCGCCTCCCTCGCCTGCGGCGGCGCCCACACCCTCTTCCTCACCGGTACTCCTGAATTGAAATCGCCTGCTTGTGTAATTACTCGAGCGAGAGAGAGATTGTGTTGAATCGAGATTAATGTGGGAGTATGTGATTTTTGGCCTGCTGGTTTTGCTCAGAGAGCGGGCGCGTGTTCGCCGCGGGTCTCAACGACTTCGGGCAGCTCGGGATAGGCTCCTCCGTGACTCATTCCCTGGTACTGAGCTTCTTGTACATCATGCCTCCATGTGAAATTTTCATCTACATTGTGAGCCAGCCTACTTTTACACAGTAAGCGAAAGCTGGCTGGACATATCAGAGTTGCAATGGGGATTGACCAAATCAATTCTGACTCCTGTTACATGTTGCAAAAACCACTCTTACTGTATGAGCAGTATCACTTTTTTTTTTAATCAGATCTTGATACCCCGAGCTTAAGAAATAAAGCAGACACACATTTTCCAATTGTCAATTTTACAACATTTATTGATATAAAATTTTTGTAGTCTCCAGATTGTTTTGGTTTGATCTGTCAAAAATAAAGAGATTGTTTTGGATTGTCTTTCAGTCTTTCTCCTGGTTGATTTCAACTTAGATCATTTCCCTGATAAGCTATGGAATCTACAGATCTGATTATTTTCATCTATGTAGTCATTGTTCCCAATGTCAGTTATGTGCATGATAAAATAGTTCTTTTCTTTTGCATGCAGGAGCCTATTGAAGTTTCTGGCTTTGATGAGAAAGTTGTGGAAGTTTCAGCTGGCAACCATCATTCTTGTGCAGTAACTGGTGAGCAAAAAGTGCAAGACATGATTTTGTTTGACCAGGAGAAGGGAATGTATATACTGATAATATCACACTTAAAGGCCCGTTATGTTACTGTAAATTGTAGCACAGCAGCATTCACACTTCTCTGCGTAAAGGTCGCTTCAAGCATTGCCATTTTGTAATGAAATGACCATAAATATCTGAGAATAGAACCAAACAAATCATTTCTGGCTTCACGATGCTTAGTGTTACTTTACTACTAGATCTCATGATTATGTGCATGTTATCTAGGTTTATCTAGGGAATAGGGATTGGAGTGAGTTGACATATGGGTGCCCTTTTATGACCCACTGGTTCAACTAACAATGCACCTTTCTTCATTGCTAGTGAAAAGGTCTACTTTCAGTTGAACTAGGCTGGGTCAATGTGTAACAATTGATTAGCCCACTGACATCCTTAATGGCATCAACCATCACATAGAAATCTACAGAAATTGTGCATGTTGCTGCAATACTCTCCTTAGAAGATTGTAGTTATGGTTCCTACTATTGTATTGGATGGTGGATACACAGACTAAATTTAAGGAAGTATGTTACATATTGAATAGGCTCCATTTTCAAATAAAAATTAATTTTATCTGTAATTATGCACTCTACCCAGACCTAAGCTGTGCAATCCATACCTTAGCTGAAATATCTTACTGCTCGTTTGTTCTTTGTAGATTGTATACAAATTTAAGATTATTCATTATATGCTACTTGCAGTGCACAATAATACAAAATTCCACTTTATAATTTTCTATTTAGTGAGATAAACAGGCTTATCATTGATACTTTTTATTTATATTTGCCAAATTTATTTTATGCTTCTTATTGGAAAAAAAATTATTTTATGCTGCACACCCTGTGCATGGGTGTAATTGTCGAAACCAATTTACACTAAGATTTTGTGTTTGGTTGTTCCCAACAGCGGATGGCAAGCTCTTCGCTTGGGGCAGAAATTCAAGTGGCCAGCTTGGTCTTGGCAAAAGTAATAACGTGATATCCTTACTTTACTTCCTTAAGGCAACACATGGTTGTACTGTCATTTCATAAAATCACTTTTTCCCAGAAATTTTTTGAACGTGTTTATGTTTTAAGCTAGGAGCTATACGATAATTTCATACGCATGCAGATTTACATGACCACTTAAGCTCTATTTGCCTCGTATGTCTTTGCATCAGTATCCAACTATGAATGGATAATCTTACTAAGATTTACTTTGGCAATATGGTAGTCTAAGTCTATCACCTGATCAATTGTGTACTTTTAATCAGTACGTAGTAAAGTATTTTTTCTTATTACTTGGTTTAGGGGCAGGAAAAGTAGTTTCTACCCCAAGAAAGGTGGACTGCTTGGCTGACGCTAGAGTGAAAATGGTTGCTTTGGGGTCGGAGCATTCAATTGCTACTACCGGTGAGTGCAACAAGTAGTTGTATTACAGCAACCTTTTTTGAATATCACTGGTTTTAAGATTCTGAAATTTTCCTCTGAAGAGGAGGGTGAAGTCTTGAGCTGGGGAGCTGCTGGTGCTGGCAGGCTTGGACATGGACATAAAACTAGCATACTGGGATTCTCTATAACTACAAGGTATGAGCCTAACTATCTCTGAAAATTTTAACTCGCTCATAACTTTTGTTATGCATGAGTTTGGTATACACCAGTACTCTACATTCCGTGGTAACCCAAAGATACAAACATAAAAGAAAAAAAATCTTAACCACGAGAGATGCAAAATTCTCTACTCCAAGCTGGCAACAAATTCATATGTCATCATTTGCGGGTTATATATACAAGTTTGTCACAGGCATGTGTTGGTTTGGATAAATTGGATCTAATGGGGTTGTGGTGGGTGATGCAATAATAGGTGGGTGAGGATCTAATTCTTGAAAGTTGCCATGGCAGGAGAGAATGTGCTAGAAGTAGGAGATGCACAGGATGGAGGAAGAGAGAAGGGGATAAGGAAATAATAGATATTAACCTCTTTGCTTAACCCCTAGCAATGTAATCTAATCCTATCTCTAGCAAATATTTTGAATACTAAGAAACAAAATTAATCAGAGACTTATATACTGATTAGATGGAAATTACTTCACTAATGTTCGTCTCTAAGCTATTGACATGTGCTGGAGTGAGTGCCTGGCATATTTTTGGCCTCACTTGACATTCTATCAGAATCTTCACTGTAAAAATAGTTTGGTGGTTCTAAATGTGTTTGCATAGTGCAATACATTAATTGTGAGTGAACATACTCCAAGGATGAAAAAATTGATGATTGTACCATTAATTGTGCAGTGAATATACTCCAAGGTTGATCAAGAATCTTGATGGTGTCAAGGTACTTTTAGATTCAATGTTGGCTCCAGATAATAGTGTTTCCGTTCTCATATTATGTATTTGTACATTGGCCAGATTAAAAGGATAGCTGCGGGAATGCTGCACTCAGCTTGTATCGATGGTAAGACTATGGAGAATCAATCTTCAAATTGTACACATCATAATTTCCCCATCTTACACTTCTCTTACACAACAACTTGCAGAAAAAGGTACATTGTTCATATTCGGGCAGAAGACTGAGAAGGTGGTACAGCGCATGGCATTGATTTTCATTGCCCTTGTTGAAATCTATTTTTTCGAATTCCCTTCATTCCTTTGTATTTAACATCAACATTACAGGGATTTGGAAGATCAGGTGATGAACTTAGACCAACTGTTGTTGAGGAGGTACCATTTTCTGAAGAGGTTGCTTGCGGAGGTTATCATACTTGTGTTGTGACAGGTATCGTTTTCTTGTTCTATGCATTTGTGAGTACATAGATGCACTGATTTCTTTTTGTTTACAGTAACTTGGTATACAAAGGTGCACTGATTACTTTTGTTTACAGTAACTTGGTAGAAGGCACCATGGCATTAAGTATTTCCATAATGTACTTAGATCAAAATCTTGCCCATAAACATTTACTTTCCTGGTAGAATAAGGATTGTTCTCCAAATTAAAATGGCAGGTTAGGGGATACAATATATTGGAATTTATATAGGTAGATCCTTCTCAGTGATTTGGATCGCTGGTTGAAATGTGGCTCTGTATATACCTGGCTCAGACCAGAAACCCCTTTGTTATGCTTCCAATTATTAGTCTGCCTTATCCTTCTGTTGTCCTGGACCATACTACAAAAAGGTTCAAATCAGTCAATTTAATTGGTTTATGCCTGCTATTGTTTTACGTACCATTACTGGGAAGGGGGGGGGGTGAATTTTCATGATAAGTTTTCACAATAGAATTTATCAATTACAGCTTTGTTTCTATTGTTGTAGGTTTCTAAAAATATATGTTGTGATGTCCTGCAGATAGTGGAGATTTGTACTCTTGGGGTTCAAATGAAAATGGCTGCCTTGGTCTTGGGTATTTGTTTTCCACTTTGTCAAGAAATTTGCTACTTCAACTTTTGTTGTTACAGTTGTACCAATGTTTATCAAAATTGAGGATGTTTGCTTACATTAAATTCCTTACCAGTGGTACAGACATGGTTCGCTCTCCGGAGGTTCTGAAGAGTTCTTTATTTAAGTTTCCTGTATCTAAGGTTAGTTCATCTAGTCATCTGTTCGAACCTTTTTTATATATTGCATCTATCATGGACAATTCTAATTACAATTTCTGGTGGACACTCACCATATATCCTATGTAGGTATCATGTGGTTGGAAGCACACCGCTGTAATTTCAGGTACCATAATTGTACTGTCTTTTAGCTACTTAGCTAGTATGTTGGATTCTACTTCCTCTGTTTCATATTATAAGACTTTCTAGCATTGTCCACATTCATATATATGTTAATGAATCTAGACATATATATGTGTTTAGATTCATTAACATTTATATGAATGTGGGCAATGCTAGAACGTCTTATAATATGAAACGGTATATGTGTTTAGATTCATTAACATATATATGAATGTGGGCAATGCTAGAACGTCTTATAATATGAAACGGAGGGAGTATAACTTAGTAGCACAGCGTTGTTTGAAGCAAATAGTTATATATTGATAACAAGTTTCCATCATCATGACTTAATATTTAACACTTTTGCCACTGCCCTGTTTGTATTATTGTATATTAGATAATAGTCTAGTTTCTCATATTTTATTTAGTTGCTACGTGTTACTGATATTTGAAGCATCTGGAAACACTCAGGTGGAGATATTTACACGTGGGGCTGGGGAGGTGCTAACGGTACTTTTTTCGAAGAGGGCCATTCTTCTGGTGGACAGTTAGTAAGTTACTTGCTACCACTGCAAGTCTGCAACTACAAGATTGTTTGTCATGTTAATCCTGTGCACTTACTTGATTTCACATTTTTCGTCCAATCGATTAGTACAGTAAAAATGATTGGTCTACCTTCATTTGAAAATTTAAATATGTCCATCCCTGCTTTACTTCATCCAAAGTTTAGGTGGTATATGGACCTTTTCCCTTTCATTTATGCTGAAATTGCTATTTCAGCTGATTGTGCTAACCATCGACTGCTTTTCAGGGACACGGAAACGATGTTGATTACTTTGAACCTATGATGGTGGAATTCGGCAAGAATGCAAGGGCCGTCCATGTGTCATGTGGTTTCAATCATACTGGTGCAATATTTGAATACAGCGAGAACTGAATTTTTACATCACAGCAGGACCCCATCCAAAGCATGCTTATTACCAAGTTATAAGTGCACATACAAGAGAAAGGAAGATAGGATAAAGTTTTGCTCTTTAATTCGAGTGTATAAAAAGAAAAATAAATTAAACTGATTACACCCCTCGCATAGGGTGGGGGTGGGGGGTCTAAATTAAGATAAACAGAACAAGAGGCAATCTGGATGCATTTGTTGTATGTATCAGAATTACAGGTTAGTAGAACTGTATATTGTTCTTTCATTATTTTTCTTTTAATCCATATGTATAATCTTCACGACCAATAATAACAACTCTGATGCTTCAAACCGTCTATGCTGTACATGATATGGCTAATTTGTTTTTCATTTAGCAATGTTGCAAATGTCTTTCATACATGTGATGAGGTTATAATGTTATATCGAACTGTTGAAGCCACGATTTGAGGTTTCACTGTTTGCTAATTTTTGTAGTTTGCATACTTGAATCATCTGAGTGTTTTTGGAAATATAATCATTTGATGTCATCTAGTACTTTATCTAGTCTAGTATAGTATGTGTATTGCATTTTAGAAGCTTGCGTTGTTACCATGCACATGAAAATTTTGACACTTTAACCCTTTTACAAACTTTATTATACAAATGAGCCTTAACAAAAACTACGCCAACGTTGGTGCTAAGGCCCAACTTCTCAGTACCATGGGACCTAGCATTGACCCCCTCACCTCTTTCTTAAAATAATAATAATAATAGAACCAATAAAACAAAAGAGCAGACTCAATAAAATAGTTTTCTTTAATAGTGGCTACTATAATAAACATTAAGAATCCAAACGAGCGGGTTGCTTTTTGATAAAAAAAGTAAATGAAAAAAAGAGGGGCATAGAGGAGTTGAACACGTGCGTCGGGGAAGGCAAGTAGACACCAAACCACCATGATGCTTGACATTTAGTGAATCATAGCCCATGTATTTTATTATTATAGAGGTCGGTCCCATAAAGCTCATCACCAAGTCTTTGGAGCTGAGGCTTTGTCTAGGTTCGATTAAATTTTTTCTAGGGTTGTATAATAAGTTTCATAAAAAAGGTTAAATTGCCAAAATTCAGTTGCACCTGATGTGATCCCTCAATTAGAAGCTATAAATAGATTCATTTTCCATTCTTGCCCATGAAGATCTTGTTTTCTATCGAGATCGCTACGTCGTCAACGAGAAAACGAGCGAGGCCCTATCGTTGCCGCCACCGCCTCCTCCTCGGTCATTGCAACTCATGGCTCGACCTTCTCAACGACCCGCTCGATGTTGTCCTTCACTCTCGCGTTTATGTGTGCCGCCAATGAGAGCTGTCTCCCCTAGTACCGTGGCTTGCCACGCTCGGCAAGATCAGGGACTACCAAAATATGCTACCTTGGTGATGAGAGGAAGACACCAATGGCATCCATCCTCACTAACGTCGACATCGGAGGAGCCTATTGGTTCAAAAATATTTATCAAGCGCAAGGGACAGAGGCACTGGAATAGCTCATGCTAGAAGCGGAGGAGTCAGGATAGTGTATTTAGCTAGCTTGTTTTTTTTCACTCAAAGTGTTGGACAATATATCATCGGTCATTCATACATGCATGGTTGCCTATTTATAGGCTATACAACGACATACACAGAAGTTTAATGAGCTCAACTAGTAGTACTACTACCTGCTAGTAAAGTTACTAGCTACTAAATGTGGCTAGACTTGTCTAAGAACTTCAAGTGTTGCAGTGAACTAGTTTGACTTATGTTTCGGGAACACTTGAAAACATGAGCTAAAGAGTAGGCTAGACAAGGGTTTCAAGAGTTGAATTAATTCCAACCAACTTCCCCTTAATTCATTTCTTGGCGTCAGTAATACATGAGAACAAACTCTCAGCAACTCCTTGTTGAACAAAGAACAAGGCCTTGGCGTTGATGCATCTTAACTTGGATTATGGTCCCGCTCTTTTTGGTTTCTAGGAATATCTTGATTTGGAGCATAGTCTTCTCTACTTCCTTTGTCATCGTCGTCTTCCCTTCGGTACCGAGTTGTAGCAGCATCTTTCACCATGCTCGTGTCTTGATTAGGCAACACCACATTAGTGTTGACAGACAAATTTCAGCATCCCGTCATTCATATTGAGGGTTGAGTCTAAAAAGCACATTGACTTCTCACTAACAATCCAATTTGGCATAGGTCCTTCCAGTAGGGTGAATAATATCAATAAAAGAAAGGCAAGCGGGTGGTTGAAGTGATGGTGAGGAAAAAGATAAGGAATGAGAAAGGAGGTTTGGAACTAGTTGTTTTCTTATATGTAATCATCATAAAACTTCATGCGTTGACTAACTAAGCCTAAACTCTACAGATTGTTGCCTGCTTTATGGGGTTTTAGAATTTCAGCAGATTGTTCTTGAAATGTTGGTTTATATTATTTGGCATTATATTAGGTAGCTCAAATTAAATATATGACTGGAAAAACTTATCTTCTTTGTAGTGTTCATATGATTTGCATTCAACTATAGACTTAGGTAACTCAATTTGTTTGATATTTTTCAGTGACATTTTAAATGACATGTAAAAATTAGAAAGAATCTAGAAAACGTTCCATTGCCTTAAGTAGAGACTTTCTTTTGCATTATTAGGATATCCGCGGTATAATAAAATAGCAGGTAGTGTGGAGGTGGTGAAGAACTAATACCGGATCATAGAATTCCCTAGAAAACTTACGATTTTTTTCAAAGCAAGCCTCATCTTACTTTTCATTCTACATAAACTAATTTGTGGGTACTGTAAACAACTGCCACTCCCTCCGTCCCAAAATGCTAGACGTTCTAGGATTGTTGAGCCAAATTAGTTGTGAGTGAAAATGGCAATTTTGCCCCTAATTTATGGGATTAGAGCTAATCATGTGGATGCTTGAGTAGTACTAGTACACAGCCACATCTGCTATTTCATGGCTTGAGTAGTACTAGTACACTGCCATATATGCTACTTCATGGATTAAGGGCATGTTCACTTTGATGCCAAAAAAAACCTTACCAAATTTTGGCAGGATTTCTTATATAATTACCAAAATTTAGCAGCAAACTAAATGTAGCCACTTTTTTTGGTAAATTTACCAAAACTTGATAAGGTTGAAAATGACATCAAAGTGAACAGGCCCTAAACTAATGCAACCAGTCCAATCAATTCAAAACTTTTCACTTTCTTTATGGATGCTTTTCTAGGAGTTTGCAACTGTGTGCTGTTGGAGAAGTGCAGCGTCAACAAATATAAGACATTTGCTTGTGAGCAGAACGACCTTCTTTGTGGGACGGAGGGAGTACTACCCTGCAACTATGGAAGATGCCCTTACTCATGGAGTAATTTTTTTCTTAAGCCCCTAGCCCCTACCTTTGTTGCTATTATCAAACAAGTCCCCAACGGCTTAACTCCTCCCCGTCCGGATCCCGCAGCGCCGCCCCCACCCCCACCACCGCCTCGTCGCCGGCGGCGATGGCCGACGACGTGCGCGAGCTCCTCCTCTCCACCACCGCCGACGCCGACCCCTCCACCCCGCTCTCGGCCCCGGACCTCCGCCTCCTCATCGACCGCCTCCGCATCCGCTCCGACCGCCTCCACGCCTCCGCGCTCTCCTTCGCCTCCTCCCACCGCGCCCCGCTCGCCGCCGCGCTCCTCCGCGCCGCCGACTCCTCGGCCTCGTCCTCCTCCCTCGAGTCCTCCCTCGCGTCGGCGCTCGCCCCGCTCTCCTCGTCCCCGGGCCTCTCCGACCTCAGGGAGCTCTCCGACCGCCTCCTCGCCGCCCGCCGCGAGCTCCGCGAGCGGCAGGAGCACCTCGCCGCCGCCTCCTCGGTAGCCGACCTCGCCGCTCGACTTCGTGCCGCTCGCGCCTCACCCGACCCCCTCGCCGCCGCCGCCGCCGCTGCCGAGCTCAAGCCTCTCCTGGTGGATCCCGAGGGATCTGGATCTAGTCAGGACGAACCCGTCGTGTTCGGGCTTCTCCGGAACGACTGGGAGCAGCTAGTCGACGAGGTGATGGGGGTTCTACTCCGGAGGGTTTCGGGTTTTGTTACGATTTGTGTTTGTGCAGTTGTGCTAACTGTCAGTGATAATGATTTTTTGGTGATAATGTAGTTGCAAGTGATGCTTGCGAAGAACTTGGAGGAATGTGTGGAGTTTGCGCCGGAGGGAGGGAAGGTGATGGTGAGGACTGCGCCTGTAGGCAAGTCCGGTGGAACACCTGGTGTGGAGCTTCGCGTGGCTCTGCAGGCCTTGGAGGTGAGGTTTATACTGAGAAAATCAGTTTGGTGTGAGAGCTCCAAATTTGGACCATAAAACATATCTAGCAGATAAATGTTGCCAGGAGATCATAGGAATTATCTTGGTGTTCAGCGATTGCCTTAGAATAAGAAATACATAAGTGCATATTTTTGTGCTACGGTATTTAGTTTTCGATGGAAATTTGGAACATCAAATGGTAATATTGTCTTTAAGCTCTACAATTTGTTAAGTACTGAACAATAATAGCATTAAAGTTTGCCAGCGGGAGAGGTGGATAATTTCAGAGTGCTGAAATTGTCTCCTCGCACCTTTGAAAAGGAGCATATTGCACCAATCATATTTGTTAGATCTTCTGTACCGATACTATTGTTTTATTCTTTTCATACCCTCCAAACGTAGCAGGTGATTCTGTGGTTTGTGGAATCAACCTTTCTTACTTCTCTTGGGTCCCCATAAGGCTAGCCCCCTGAATCATTTGATCTCCAGATGTTGCAGAATAACTAGGCTAAGCCATATGTGATATAGTAGGAAGCTCCATGTCTCCACTACCTGTATTGATGACCTGTATGCTGCAATGAGCTTTGAAAAGCAAGTCACTTTCTCATTTTCTGATGTTCCTTTATGTACAGATAATTGATGCTGTAGACTATGGAATGACAAAGCTAGCAGACTTGATGATCAAGCATGTCCTAGTTCCAGCTATCAGCAACATATCTGTGGCAGTTTCTGTGGAAGAACTTGAGAAAAGTGGTCCTCAATACCCTATATCAATCTTGTGTGTAACCCCAACAGAGGAACTACAGGTAAGTGGTTCGTAGTGTTTCTTGATTCACCAGAGCTAATTGGTCATTGTCAATCATGTGCCTGTTATTTTCAAGGCATTAACTCAACATATATGTTGCATATTCAAAAAATTAAAGATGCAGTTACTTCTAAAGAAAAAGATTAAAATCTTTTTCTGGCTGCTGGCTGCTTTATTGAGTATGGAAAATTAGACAATTTCATATATGAAATCACGAACCCTTGAGTGATGATTATGATATCTTGGAAATGCATTGAGTACTAAGGAAAGTTGATTGTTGTATTCATTTCTTATTGTCTTGGAAAGTCATC